TATGATCCCAAATTCTGTTTGGGATCATAGGAAGCCTTCAGCCTTGGATGGACAGGAAGCCTTCAGCCTTGGATGGAGCAATGCAAGCAAGCAAGCAAGATTATGCTAAAGGAGCTTGCTTAGTTTGGTATGGTGTTGGGGACTGAGGCTTTTATACTCCTATAAACACTGGCTCTGAGTCGCAAAACTGACTTCCCCATTAATGTGAGAAAGTGATGGTAGGTACTTTTATCCTAGTATCTGAGGGGGAAATGATTTTGGTAGAAAGGAGAAATACTTGCCATTTCTATAAATCACATATAATGCCTGACTTTAGCAGCTGTTCAGACTTATATGCAATTGGGCATTTTTTGGCATGCACAATTTGGAATTCCTATCCTCTACTCCATTTTTAGCCTATCCCAACTTCATTTTTACTTTGCTCCTAGCTGACCCTCTGCTGGCATATGTAATAAAGGCTGCAGAAGCACTTCAAATAATAACCCTCTCTAACCCTGTTTAACGCTCCCAGCAAACAATTAATTGAAGGCACTCAGTTATGTGCAATCCCCAAAAGCACTACTTTTTTTTTTCACTTTCTCAAATTGCAGTCTCTGATTGAAAAATGCAAATTATTTATCTAAGCTCATGATAGTTTTAAAAGCCTCTTGAAATTGAGTAGGAAATGGAGGGAAAATGGAAAAAAATGGGAAAATGGAAATCTTCAATCTGCCTGGATATTATCCTACCGGTATATAAAACTTTTGAATGTGAGCCAGAAACTAACTAAAAATAAGACAGAAAAAGAGTGGAAAGTTATTTGTAGAGAAAAACCAAAAAAAAAAAAAAAACCAAACAAACCAAAACCATATTTAAAGTTAACATTTAAAGAAAAGCAGGAACAGCGATAATTTGAACAGCACTTTTATTTAGCATAATTATTTAAGGGAAGACATTACAAATTCAGCTTAATGAATTTGCAAGTCCTGCCCCCATTACTGTGAAATCTGTAGTTCAATACAACTGGTAAATCAGTAAAGCTGCGTTTTCTTGGTGTTTTATTCATATTACATCATAAATCTTCATTAAAGCTAAGGGATACAGAGATAGCAGTCATTTTTAAAAAGATCATTTCCTGAATTTTCTTCTTAAAAGATAAATTAGAACGTATTTCTATTTTCTAGATTTTGAAAGATATTCAAGGAAACTATTTTATTACCGGTATATTTCCAGGGATTAAATTCAGTTAAAAATATCTAGGAAGTTAAAGGTCATAAATCACTTTTGAAGTGGCACAGGAACTGAATTGTGCCTAATGGACAGAAATCTCAATAACTTTTTAATAGACTTGGTATAATTTAGAAGTTGACATATGACATGACTAAGGAGAAATTTTCTGACAGTGAGAACAATTAACCAATGGAACAGCTTGTCTTTGTTGTGGGAGCTTCATCACTGGAAGCTTTCAAGAAGAGATTGGACTGCCATTTGTCAGAAATGGTGTAGGCCTCCTGCTTGGTGGGGTGGTGGTGGACTAGATGACCTACAAGGTCCCTTCCAACTCTGTTAATCTGTATCTGTAATCTGTAAATATATTCAGATTATCACTGTACAAACCTCTCTTATTCATCCCAACACATTCTGTTTCACTATATTTTGCTAAAGCAAATGCATAATCAATCAAAAGCAAAAAATAAACAAAAAGTATATATAGAAGCTACAAATATCCCTAGATTAGATTTTTCAGTTATGTCTACTACAGGGTAATATACAAATAATAAACCTTAGATCCAAGTAAAACACCAAAGACACTGATTTTACAGTACTAACATGCTATTCACAAGATCAAATAACATATCTGTTTTACAGAATGAATCTCCTAATTTCTTTCTGCCTCTTGTCATATCAAAATAGGAGGTACAGACTGAGTCACTAGAATATAAACTGAGAGCAAACCCTACTCCTTACTAGCACTGATGATGTTATCTAATTTGGGTAATGAAATGTCTGCAAGAAAACAACCAAGCTCAGAGCACCTCAGTACAGACTGGGCCTTTAGCACCCACAAATTAACAGTTATATTTGCAAATTAAACACTGTATTTTTTTTAAATGCTAACTCTTTTTGCATTAAAGCAACAACAAATTTTTGAAGAATTGCTTTGCTTTTTTCCTTTTGTGTTTTATGCACTCCTACCTATAGTTTTTCAGTTTGAGATCTCTCTCTCTCTCTCTCTCTCCCTCCCTCCCTCCCTCTCTATTTATTATCTGAAGTCAGAGATTACACTATGCGATGGGGGAAAAACTAAAAGAACTATTAAACAGCTATTGAGCATCAATGTCTTAAATTTGGCTAGATTATCTTGTTTCTGGATTGTTATTAACCCAGCTGCAAAATAGTTTTGTAAACAATATTTATTAACTGCTTATTTTGTTTACTACAATGTATATGTCAATTAATTCAACAAGGCTCCAAGTGGCTTACCCTCCCTCCCAAAAGTAACATTAAAATAAAAATCATTACAAATAATAACAAAATGAAACAATACTATAATGAATAATCTCAACATTCAAATCTAGAGCAGACTGAATGAAGCTGCCATAAAAATACACTCCAGTTTAAACCAAACTTAACAGCCACTTCCACCCTACTCTTAAGAAAATTATATACCAAAATCATCAGCAACATTCATATACTGGCCTATATGAAAAATGTAGTATTTTAAAATAGGTAGAAACTGAAGATTGCTGATCCCACAATTAATTCAATCTTTGATTTTCCAGTTCCTAAAATCAAATCAAACCTAAATAAGACTTTTTCATACAAACATAAGCTTCCCTTTGAAGCAAGTATTTATATCTGCTTTTCCTGCCTTATTACATCAGTGTAAAATGTTAATACAGTACCGGATGGGGGTGGTTTAACAACACCAAAATTATTTAAGTGGGCAACTAATCAACAAATCAGTTTGTTATGGTGAAGCAAAGATGTGCTAGAGACCAGATAGGGATTACTTGTTTTTAACACTCCAAACAACTTCATATGTATTTTAACAGAAGGAATATTTTAATTACCAACTGAATATATCTCAGCATTTGGCCTCAAGACAAGAACTTTAGCACTTAATACAGTATTCTGCTCAAGATTGAAAACATAGTGCAAAGTAACTGAGTAATGCACATGTACTTCAGTGAGATCCTAACCTCCAAGACATGGCCTATGACATGTTGAACAAATATGACATGTGCTATATAACTAATACTAGATTAAACCTCAGAATTCTACATAAGATGTAGCAGCTTTAGCAATAAAAGCAAATTGTCAAGGCAATGTCTATCAAAGAATAACTATGATTTACACCGATTTGATCAGAACTTTTGATGTACTATGCTATTAAAATGGGAAAAATAGTTAATTGGGGAAGTATAATTATCTCTGAGACTGCAATACAAGCCATAACACCATCAGATTCAAGATCACTTGACTAAGGAAGTTGGTCATTTTCACACACTTCAGAAAACCAAAATTAAAATTTTGCTATGGCAGCAAACATTGTTGCAAAGGAGAAATATTTTTGCAACAATAGATTCTTCTTGCCGATTAGTCTAAAATATTAATTATTTTATGAACCAAACAATAAAAGAATAACTACAATAATGCATTGTGTTAAAATTTTTCAATTATACAATCTTTGCAGAGCTTTTCCTAACACTCTTTGCAATCAGAAAAGAAATAAAATTGCTTTTTACTTATGCCACTTTTTGATACTGGGTTAGTTCAGAACTCTTCTCAAAGAATGGAACATTTGATGGCAGAGGCAAACTGAACCAGTCACAGTTCTTTGCCATGGCAATCCAAAGACACAGTAATATTTAAAATACAGGTTAAGATGTGCTAATTACCCTTTCTCAGTTTGCCTAGCAGAGGAGCCCTTGTCAATGACAACACACAGAACAACAGAGGATCAAGCAGGACGACTTCTATATGAAGCTTCTGTCCACAGCACATCATTCAGTATTTGAGAAGGCATTTAAAGGTTAGCATATCTAGCCAGCAGAGCAATAAAAACATTCATTTAATTATTCTCCTTGTGACTGCACATTCAAATAACATCTCTCAATAAACAAGCAGCATATTAAAATATGTCAGGCAGAACTTTAAGCTTCCCTGCAATATGCATTTTCAGCAAACACTTCAATATAGCACTTTTGCTAGATAGCACATTTAATTTTGGCTTCTAATTAAAAGTTCATCAACACATTCATCATAGTATAGGGCGTGGTTCCTGCTCTATGGAACAGCCTGTCCCTGAGGTCTGAAGGACCCAATCCTCTCAGCCTTCCAGAAGGTTGTTATGACCCAGTTGTCAGGATTTTAGAGGAGAGCAATGTACACATTTGTTTTTGTAAAATTGCTACATGATACCTCAGATGTTTCTTTTTCTTGTATCGGACTATTTTTAACTCTGGTGTTTTTTGTTTTGTTCTGTAAATTGTGTGTTTGTCACCTGGAGTTATGCATTTAAGTTGGCCAGTGATATAAATGTTCTTAAAAAAATTAAATACATTCTCCGAATAGGTTTAAGTGTGTATTCAGATTTAAGGACATATATTACAGCATATATCACATATATCAATTTAAGCCTTCTAGCCTTAAACAACTGAGAAATATAGTCCTAATAATTACTGAAATTTTTAAAATCTTATTAATTTCAGCTCATCTAAGAACCAGTTTGCTATACCATAAACTAGGTTAAAATTCTTATCACTGCTCACTGTATTTCTCTATGAAATTTGAACTTACTACCACAAGTAAAATATTAGGGACAAAGCAAAGAAATACACAGCAGTGATTGTAATATGCCGCTATAGATTCAGCAGTCCTGTTCCATTCTGTAGGCTGCTTGATCTCTTTCAACAAATTCATCTGGTCAAAAAAAAAAAAAAGATAAAATATTCATTTCCCTATACAGCATTCAGAAAAGCACCAACATTGTAATCCTACTTTCTACTGCAACTTACCAAGTTTTTCCACGAGTTTCAGCATGACGCCACCAATATGTATTTCCCCTGTGACCCTCAGTGTTACATCTCTGCTCAAGTCTGTGACATGCACATTCAACTCCCACGTTCCATCAGCATAGCAGCCATCTGGCATCCGTATACCGTCCAGAGCCGTCATTGCTCCTTTCTATGCTCCTTTCTACAGAAAAAAGGAAATGGCATTCATTAGTTAAGCTGAAGCCTCCCGCTTCACAGCTCAGGAGCAGCTTCCCTGCTTCCCCATTCAAGTGAAGGAAATCACAGCAGTGAGGAAAGTAAAGAAAGAGCAAGAAAAAGAAATAACCAAGGAAGGGGAACAAACTCCCTAAAATCAGCTGTAAAGAAGTAACAAAACGGAGGAAGTTCCCAACTCAGTTCCATTTACTTAGGGGGGCAGTAAGGGGAGGGCGGACCCAGATTGCAGATTTCCAGCTGCTCAGCAAGGGCTTTGTAAATTTAAAGGGAATATAAACTGAAGCCTTGCTTAGCTTCAGTTTGCAGGTATGTTTAAACCAAGATTCCCTTCTTCAGGGATCTTATTTGTCCCTACAATATGTTAATGAGACAAGTCCCTTTGACCCCGAAGTTCAGGATACAGATTCCCTTTTAAGATCCAAACTACTCAAGAAAATCCGAATAATTCACGGGAGCAAAACACATCCTTTCAGCCATAATAACCTCCACGATCTCCTAGGACTCGTCCTACAAAACATAGATATATTCACAGCGGCAGCCAGATTGCATAAACATCTTAAAGCACCACATGAGCAATAAATAAGGGACTCTCGCACAGGGAAAGAAAATTTTTGCAAGCTCCTTTTCTCCAAGGCGCATTATTCAAGATTATACGGGGTTGTAGCAGGCAAGAAAAAGAAAGGAGCAACGGATGTCCCAACCAAGCCAAAAACAATGCTCACAGAGTAAGAAAGATGTGCCCGTCGGATCTTTAGAATCCCATAAAAATAATCTGGGGGGGGGGAGGAGGGCTAACTTCTCAGGTAAGCAGAAGAAGAGGAGGCCTGGGGGAAAAAAAAGAGTGGGAAGGACGGAGAGTGAGAAGAGACCGAAAAGGAGCGAGGCTGAAAACGCGGCGAGCGTTATTTGCAGGGGAGAAAGGCAAGCAAGTTACCTCAAAAGGGACTAGGACCCTGAAGAGGGCACATGCAAACCTTCCAAACTACCCACACACACATAAACCGACCCATCACCCTGGCCACCCACACACGGATCCCCCTGAGGACCCCACACATGTCCCCGCGTCCACCGACCGAGCAAGGATGACGTGGAAGCAGCAGAGGAGAAACGAAGGAGCCTTTGCCGCGCGAGGGGAGAAGCCCCCACGCCTGCCCGTCCTCACCTCCCTTCAAGGGGCTCCCCGGCCTCGCTTCTGCCTCCGCCGCGCGCGCCTGCGTGCGTGCGTTGCGGGTCCCCCCCGTCGGCGCTGCGAGCGTGACAGAGAAACACCCCCCACCACTACTCAACGCCGCCGCCGCCGCTGCCCTCTGCCTGCCTCGCCCGATGCTTCGCTTCTCTTCCCCGCCCTGCGGACGTAGCCAGGACGGGAGCCGCCGCCCCCCCCGAAGCCTTCTCCGCCCGCCGGGGGCGCCGCCTGAGGGGATGGCGACAGAGGGAGGGACGGAGGGTGACGGGGGGGGAAGAGGAGGGCGAGGGAGGCCTGGGGGACGAAGGAGAGGGAAGGCGCTGCCCTTTTATGGAAGCCTGGACGGAGGAGCAGCCAGGACGGAGGAGCAGCGGGGCAAGGGGCCAACATCCGGGACTCCCCCGCCAGCGGACGCGCGGGAAAGCGAAAGGGGGGGGAGGAGGAGGGGGAGGCGGCTGAGGGGGAGGAGGTGCGCGGAAAGCGCGGGAAGGGGGCGCGGAGGGATCTCCCCTTCAGGGGGGGGCGGTTGTGAGGGTGCCCCCCACACACACAAGGAGAGGAGAGCCTGGCAGGTCGCCCTCCTTGGAGATGAGAGAAGAATTGGCATGGCGCGCTCCGCCCCTTAGCCGTCCAAACTCGCAGCCTCCCCAACGTGGTTCTCTCTCTCTCTCTCTCTCTCTGTGCTGTGGGTTTCCTTTCCCCACCGCTTTTTCCTCTTGCGTTTGTTGGGCCACAACTTCGCCTTTGCCCAGAACAACAACCGCGCGCATTATGGGGAGTGGGATCCGGCATAAGACAAACTCAAATTGCCAAACTCAAACTTAGGCGTTGGGAAGCGGAGCACCGGACTAGGAAGATGGGCCAGGAGGTGCCGGGATTGTCCCCCGCGATTGCCGCTTCTGGAAAATCGTCCTGGGGAAAAGTCAAGGACTGGCAAGAGTCAGGAGGTTATTCGAAATCCTCAGAGCTGGTTTTAGGATGGCGATGCGTTGGCTATACCTACGTGGAGAGGCAACAGATGTTTGTTTTAATTATGTCCCAAAGGTGCTTTTTTTTTTTTTCAACTGGATTTTCCCAAAGTCCAATTTGCCTCTTGCAAAAAGCAGCTTTGGGACAACCATGACCTGGATGACTGAGAATTTCCATAGATATGTTTTAATTTATGATTTGCTTTCAATTGGTTTTGTAACATACGTAAATTGCTTGTTTTATTTTATAGTGCAGAGTCACCTTGTGTGAGATGGGTAACCATATAAGTTTAAATAAATAAACTTAGCCAAATGATCAGAGAACAACCAACAGGTCAAGCCATGGGTTCTCATACGTTGCTCTGCAAAGTAAAATACAGGAATTTGTCTAAGCTCCTCTTGCAACCAGCTTGCCTTCCATAGAAGACCTGTATATTGTGGGTTAGGGTTAGGAGGAGGGCTGAGAAAATATCTAAAGGCCCCTCACACCCGGATATAAACTGTTTCAACTTCTCCCCTGAGACACTGCTATAGGGCATTATATGCCAAAACAACTGGACACAGAGACAGTTTCTTTCCCTTGTACCATCACTCTGTTGAACACCTAATTCTCACAGCACTTAGGTCTAAGTATATTCACCCATATCATATGGCTCTCGTACTATTATCCTTGTCTTCTCTACTACCCTCTTATTGGTATTATTATTATTATTATTACTCTGTTGTTTTAGATGTACACTCTGAGCTTCTGCATCAGAGACAAATTGCTTGGGTATCTTAATCACAAATGTTCTATTCCTGCATAATATTAGTAATTTTTTTGGGATTATGGATAAGCTGAATAGACTTATTTTTAATCACTGAATGTTCACATATGGGTTTTGCAAAGGTTCTCAAACTTTGTAGGCTTGTGCAGGCAAAATTAGGATTGAAACCCAGAGTGAGTTTAAACAGCAAGTAGATTTTTTTTTTAAAAAAAATGACCTTCCCCAATTGCTCTCCACCTCTGGGCAGCATAATCCACAATTTGAGAACCTTGCACTACACTGAGCTATTAAAAATGGTTAACATTAACTAAGCTTAGCATTGTTGCTGGCTATGTTGGCAACAGATCTTAGGATAGGTTTTTTTTTTTTTAAACTGGCTGCTCAAGCATGTTTTGCCAACACTGTTAGATTTGGCCCAATCATGAAGTATCTGGAAAGCCAATGGGGTCATAGAGAGCAAAAATTCCCAAATGAACAGCAGGAGCAATTACTCTATGGACCCGGGGGCTTTTCTGAGAGTAGGAGTTGAATTTTCTCTGCTAGTGAGAAAAGTGCACAGGGGCTACAGTAGCTGTGAAGTTACAACTCAGTGTTTGCCATGAAATGTGTGGCAAGGAAATAACTTCTTCCACTTGACTGTGATCCTGCAAGTCAGAAGGGGTCAGAGTCTTGGATCAGCAGGGTCAGTGACTGGAATGAGAGTAGATCTCCATGGCAAAATGTAATACTGGTTTTAATTAAAGCATAGTTATCAGAAACAGTAAGGCGCAAAGGCGCAATATGAGAGACAGTTGTAGCAGTTAGATTTTATACTATGCTGACTCTGCTTATCTAAGTGGGCTGCCTGCTTACCTCAGTTGTGCAAGTAGAGTGCTGTTAATTTTGTAGGAAGACGGTTAACAATATGCGTAATCGAGATAGGTGGTTTTTAGCAAAACTACTTTCCCTTCATGAGATTTCTCCCTTGTATGCTTTCAAGGAATTTTTACACTGGTATCGACTTGGCGTGTTTTTTGAGCTCAGCCATTGACATGTGCAAACCATGGTTTAACACTGTGTGTCAGTTTTGTTGGGTCATGGGCTGCATCAGCTTTTCAACAGTGTTGAATATACTGCAAATTAGCGGAAGGCACATACAAAGGTTTTATATTAAAGATTTAAATTTTAGCATGATTATCCTCTTCCCTATACAACTCATTTGATTCCTATGTTTAAAATAAAAAGTAAAACATTGGTAGAAGCAAAACATTAAAATCACACACAGTATAAACAGTATAATAATCAATGATCTAATTCTGGCATGGCCATAACTTAAAAGTATGAAGTATTGCAGCTGATATAATAGTTCATCCAGCTTCATAAAGATCCTGAAGAAAGAAGCATTTTAAGGACCTTTTTGCATTTATCCAAAGTAATTCAAGGAAGACTTGAGCTAAACAGTATTGGAGGGGAAAGCAGCCCATATATATATTAAAATGCTTCTTCCTTCAGGATCTTTATGAAGCTGGAGGAACTATTATATCAGTTGCAATACTTCATACCTTTAAGTTATGGTCATGGCATGCCTTTTTTGCCACACACTCACACCCACATACTCTGCCATGCACATGCAAGGGGAGACTGATTTTAGGAACAGAAAAGTAGCATCTGGTGTGTGATTTGTTACTTATTGGCAACATAATTTGAAGAGTTGTAGTTAACTGCCCTGGCCTTCTGGTCCTTAGGATATAAGCTTTGAACATGGTCAACTATGAGCTTGTAAATCATGATTAAACAAACCTAATCTAATACGCATCCTAGTGGAAATAAAGCATATTATGTTTTGTGCATGTTTAGCACGTGTGGAAAAGAAAGATATTCAAGTACTATGATTCAAATTGTATCCTAGAATTCCCTGTTTCACTTCATCCTTCCCACAACTTCATCCCATTTTAATTTTACCAGTGCATTTTACTCACTTTGCAGCAAATTCCATGGATTTATCTAAGTGGTAATGTTGGCAGAACTTTCACAGCTGTCCAGTGAAAGCTTCTAACAGACATATTCTATTAACAGGTGGGTTTTTTTCATATATAAGATACCTTCCCAAAAAAACCTTGTATTTACCAACACACCCTAATTTCACCAAAATATGTCTTCTCCATTGAGTATCTTAAATCTGTCCCCCACCAGGAAGATGAACTATTTAAGATTAAGCAACTCTTTAAACTCAAAATGGATCTCAGCACACTTAGCTCTTCCTTGGAGAGTAGCCTAGTTGGCAGTTTTCTAACAAATTAACAAAAAGAAATGCTAAAATCAACTTCTAGAAATGCTGAAGAAGAAATACACTGTGGGCCAATAGGGAGGGAGATTTCTGGATGAAAGAAATACGAAACTATGTGAACCTTGCTCTAATGGAGGAAAATATTTGGCACCTGGAACAGCTGAACGTGATCTAAGATAAGCATTTTGCATACTACATTTTAGTTTCCCCAAATGTATAGGCAGCTTAGAGTATTTGCATATTCTGATGCCAATCATTGGTAGACTGAGGAACAATGTAAGGAACTGAAGGCTTCTTGGCTATTAGATCATTTTGGAATTTTATACTGATTCTCAACAGTTGTTCTATTATTTTGCATTTGCAGGCATGGTTGCCCAGAAATAGACTCCATTTAAGTTTTGAATGGACATACATAGGATTGTGATTTTAGTTGCCAAATTTTGTAGTTCTAGTAGGGTTTTATTATTTACCTAAATTCCTTTCTTACTATATATCACTGCAGATGCATGAGGAATTACCTTAGATCCATTATACTTTTATCCAGCTTTTATTAGCTAATCTAATTAACAGATGCTAACAGGAAAGAACCTGATCTTTTTAGCCAATTAGATTATAAATAAAATGTGCTCTGTTCCTGTGCTATGGTCCTTTCCTACTTACTTCCTTTCAAATAAAGTTGGATGGTGGTTGGATATGTACCTTGTACTTGTTTAATCAAAGTTTATTGAACAAAGTGCAATTGGCCAAACTCATACAACTCTCAAGCCTGCAAAGTACTTGCAAAGGTCCCTTTTGACCATTCCCCAGCATCTCAGTTTTGAAGCCATTAAAGCAGTGGTTGTCATCTGATAATGCCTGCAAATAATTTTAATTGTGTTATAATTAAGTGCAGTGGACATTCCAATTCCAACATCATGAGAGAAAAAAGACAGATTATCCATATTTTACATTATATTTGTACATATCTTTACCTCCTATATTATCACTATAGTCATTTTTAATCTAAAATAGTCTCAAATGCTGAGGCATTTAGTTTGAGCATGCCTCAGTTACAGTCCATTCCAAATATCAATTCTAATTTCTCCTCCAAGTTCTCAAAACGTAGTATAAAATTCATTGAGGTACTGGTGACTTCAGGCCCAGTCTGGACATAAATGTCCTTTCAGAGAAATACCTCAGGTCTTTAATTCCTCTTGAAGGAACATCATCCAATCACTCCTGACTATTATCAAGCAATCAGCTTAATAAAGAGGGGTCACCCAGCAGCTGTAACAATATAGTGGCTGGAAGGCAACCAAAAATAGAGCTATGTTGAGAATAGAGAGCTCATTATTTCAGCAAGGGGTGGGGTAGAGAT